TAGAACTGAACTAGAACTGAACCAGAACTGAACTAGAACTGAACTAGAACTGAACTAGAACTGAACTAGAACTGAACTAGAACTGAACTAGAACTGAACTAGAACCGAACTAGAGCTGAACTAGAACTGTACTAAAATTGAACTAAACTAAAATTGAACTAGAACTGAATTAGAACTGAACTAGCACTGAACTAGAACTGTACTAGAACTAAACTAGAACCGAAATATTAAGACGTAAAAAATTGCTTTTAGAACATTTCCTAGTTCTGTCTATTCATTACTTAATATGAATAAACTAAATAAATTAAAATTATATCTTTTTATTAAAAGAACCTTAAAAATATTTACTTACTTCTATTCTGAAACGACTGCTCCGCCGGTATGCCCAGTGTATAAATACTAAAGCAAAGATATGCGAGGAGGAACCATTTAAGTGCTTCGCGTCTTTGATTGACATAAAATGTTGTAAATAAATTATTTAAAATGGAGTGGGGCAATGTAACGGTGGGTCCTTCCGGGGACTCATTATTTTCATCTTTATTTTTTATTTTATTTATGGAAGTTAAGGACGACACACCATTTTCAATATTATTGCAATTGTTTAATTTTGTTTCAGACATAACGCTTTTTCGTTTTTATTTTAAATTTTATAAATTGTTAAACGTATTAGTTAGTATTGCTGTTAAGATTTTGGTTAACTGTTGTTGTTGCTAATTTTTTGGTGTTACACTTTGTTATCCTCTTTTTATTTTAAATCACAACCTTTTCTTTACAATTTTGCGGCATTGTTTATTTTTGTTTTACGAAATTTCCTGTTAATTTGAGAACAAACAACAATAAAGGAGTTTACTTTGTGTGTGATGAGAAGAATAGCGGTTAAACTACGACTAACTGACAGTTATTGTGTGAGAATAACTGTTATGTTTATTAATAAGGCGCGCTTTTTTGTTTATGCGTTTGTTTTTGTTTTCATTTAAAAGCTTTTCTAACAAATATAAGGAAGTTTTTACTCATTTAAAGGAAGATTTTTGTGCTCTTTTACTGTTTGAACAAGTGCTCATTTAATATACTCTCTCTAACACTCACTGCGTGTAGAAGTTATTACTGTTATAACGGTTTCTTTCCTCATGTTGTTTTTTAACGTTTAATGTCATTTTTGTTATTGTTCTTGCTGTTGTTGTGTTGTATGTATTGTTAATGATTATTTACAACAACTTCAAACAAAAAGAGAGCTTTGACTTTGGCACAAAACCATACATTATTTACAATTTAATGTTGCTCAAGGACCTGAATTAAAAGAAACACCAAAATATTCAATAAACCAACAAAATGAATAAAAAAAGGATAATGGGGAATAAAGTTATTTTGTGTGTATGTAGCTGTGAGTGAGTGCGTGTATGTATGTGTGTAATTTGTTTTGCTGGTGTGTATGGTTGTGCGTGCTGTCGTGTTGGTGAAAAAAAGGAAATGTGCACAAGAAATGCATACACACACAAAAATCCTTTAAAAATTTGATCCTGTGTGTGTTTATGTTGTGTACTTTTTTGGTTTTGATTTTGTTCTTTTCTGCCCCAACTGTTCAAGAAACTAATTATTAGTCAAAGTTTGTAATAAAACTGTTAATTAAACTTAAATTTGTTATCGAGTTATGGCCGTTGTTGTACACCTCTTTTTTTCAATAGGAAGCTGGAAATGAATTTTCACAACAACAACAACATTGTTGTTTTATGATTACAACAACAAGTAATATCCTCCATACAACAACTATACACATTTATAAATTTTAGGAGTTTGCATTTATTTTCTTAAAAAAATCAGGGGCTCATTAGCATTTTTTTATTACAAATTTTATTACTTTTTTGTTAAAAACCGTTGTTAATTTTAAAGATTTTTTTTTGCTAAAAATACACACCATCCTCTATTTAGCAGTGTGTATGTGCTGTATATTATTTTTTATATTATAAATATAATTTGTGTATAGTATTTAAAAATATGCATACTTTCTTTTCATTCAATTGTTAATTTAAAGATAACTTCTTTAATTCTTTTACTTTGAGCATTTTAATAAATATTTTTTTGTTATTTTCCACTTTAATTATTTGTTTAAATTTTTTCTATTATTTTTTTGTGTGTGATTTTTTTTACTTTTCGTTGTCCGTTTTAATTTGAGTACATATTTTTTATAGTTTTCTAAGCTATTACCAGAAGAAGACTAAAAAAGCTCCTTTGAATACAGCCTTCCGATAAAATAGTCAAGAAGTAAAGCTTTAAGGACATACATTTATTATATGCAGCTTTTTTCTCTGCCCCAAGAGAAAAATAAGCTTAAACTACATATGGATATGTGTGTGGCCAAATGACATGTGTCAAATTGTTGAGATTTGACAGAAATGTCATTGCCATTTACCTTTTTAACTGCTATCTATTATTTACCAAACAAATGAAACTCCCTTGAGAGGCTGGAATGGCGGGTTGTGTTGTATAGGAAGATACTTGCATGTGTCCGGTATAAACACGAACAATTTTCATATTATTTAAGAAAATGTTTACCTGAATTTAAGTTAATTCCTTTTGTACTGCAGTTTTTAAAAAGAAATACATTAAGAATGCCGAATTAGGCAGCTGCAAGTATTACATGCATGATCTTTATTGTGCCTTGTTGTATTTCCTTTCATTTTGTTTGAAAATCCTTTTTGAAAACCTTTATTTTCAGAATATTACAGTAACTGTCATGTTTTTCAGAATACAGATTTGTTAGAAGTTGATTTCCAAACCGATATACATACATAAATTGAAATTGTTTCAGAATTTTGCTTTTTCATAAAAAATTAATGTGGTAAAATTACTCTCCTCATACATTATTAGAGTACATGATCCGTTTAGTGGTCCTATGAAATGCAGATATGGAACATGTTAATTTTTGATCCTGGCCCGCATTACATACGATCATGTTGTGTATAATTTTTGCAAGGAAGTAGTTTTGGGATTAGTGTGGTCCAGTGCTAGTCCTTTGCAGAGTACTTTGTAAACGCGTTTGCGGGGTAATCTATTTTTTTGTGGGTATTTTTATAAATTACATAAATTTTTACTCAAAATCTTTACTGAAATCTAGATTTTTACAAAACACTTCAATTGGGTTTATCTGACCATATAAACCACTACACCGTTTGAACAAAATGACTAAATAAACTTTAAATGGTATTTTTTCATGGTTATTTAGATAGAGATATTTGTTGATGTTTTTGAACTTTTTTTTCAGATCTTTTTGGAATCGAGAAATACTGCGGTACTCCTACGATATTACATTACAAATGTTAGCTTGTATACTAATCATAGGCGCTAGTCTATATACATATGTACATATAGACTAATCAATAATCTTACAAATAGACTAGACCAAAGAATATTCAATAGACATGATTACTGGTCAATAGACTAGACCAAAGACGATAAATAATTGAAATTTTCCTTTAGTAGTTAGAGTGCTTTTTGGAAGAAGACATTTTAAAGGGTCTTAGTATTAGTATTTGATTAATCTTCCTTATGACCACGTTTTACTGTTACTTTTAAGCGAAATTTTGTATTATTTTTTAAAGTACAGTTTTCCTAAACTTGCTTTTTATGTTGCAAACATTAGCAATAATAAACTGTTGGTCGAATTTCATCTCTTACCCGTAAAAACTACTTTTCAACTAAAAAAACTTTGATCTACTAATAAATAAACAAAACTAATATAATAATTGATTAATTTCTTAATAAAAGTTGTCTAAAATTCTTTAAAAAACAATGCATAAAAAAATCATTGCATTGACAACACAGTACATGAACATGACCCGTTTGTATTGTTTTTGTTGTTGTTTTTGAAATTTTCCATTTTAAAGAAAATCTAATTTTGTCGTTACAATAACAACATTACATCTGTCCTGTCTAAAAAAGAACATCCTGCGTAAGGCATTTACAACAACAACGGTTACTTACACAAACACCTGGTGTTTTTATCATGATTTATTACTTTGTTCTCTTTCTATAACGAATTGGATTAAGAAGAGCAGATGATGATGATTTACGAAAATAAACGTTATATATACTGACAAACAGATGGCGTTGACGTCATTTTAGTATAACACTAGTACAAAGTGTTGCCAGACAGTTGGTGGGAAAAATATCATTAACGTACAGTAAACACTAGTTTATGAGTCAGATTATTAAGCATTTTCTGTATATTTCTTTTTACTTGAAATTCTTTTACCAAAATATTTATATTAGCTTTTCACGTCTTTATAGTAGCTTTTTTCTTGCAGGATTTTTTTTTATTGTATAACTGATTTTCTAAAAGAATTTGACAATTCTGTGTATAAAGTTTTTTTTTTGAATTTTTCTGAAGATTTTATAAAAGATGGAGTATAGCATTTTTAAAACCAAAGCAAGTTATATAGTATTACCGCTTTTCTAAATATATTTTGTTTTCCTAAAGGAATTTTTTTGGAAAAAACTGTTATACAATAAAAGTTTAACGAAATAGAAATGTTTTCTGTATACAGGTTGTTTTAAAGAGTTTTGTGTAAAACATTTTTTGTCAATGTAATATTTTTCGTATAACAATTTTTCTTAAGATGAGCTGTAAATCCGTTGTGTAAAGGAAATTTGGATATAAAAATTTTCTATAAAAAGTTTTTGTTTTAAAACATTTCTTGTTTAATAGATTTTGCAGTTTTTTATCACATTTTGCAGTTTAATTTTCCTTCAACCACAAAATCATGATGGCAACCTTTTTATTCTGCACTTTGTTAAATATTGTTTTCCTTTCAAATTTCAAGCGTAGATGGCGCCACAATTTCCTTAAGGTACAATATTCGCTTTTTTTACCTGCTTGAATACTGCAAGAAATTACCTTTTTCTGTTTACCATACTCTCACCATCTCTTTCTTGCACACGCATCCCAACGCAGGCAAAAGCATTTTTTGCAACATTGTTGGCAAAACTCAACGACGCCAATTAATTCGAACAAAAATTCGATCATCATTCGGCGTTAATCAGCGAAGCAGTAAAGACGTGTGCAGTGGTCAGTACAGCATTTGAAAAAAAGTACAAGTTAATTTTTAAATAAATATTTTAGAGTACTCCAACTAATATTGTGTGTGCTTAACTAAGAGAAAATCATTTTTACAAAGAAAACAACAAAGTTCTTTTTTTAAAAGTGTGACTGCAATTGTGTTTTATTTGTGAATTAAACAATAAAATACAATTTTCTAACGTTCTCTTTATACATTTTTTAAACGAGTTTTAACAAATAAATCCAAACAAAATGGCCGATGTTGCTGTAGAAAACAAGTGAGTACAAAATGCCTTTTACAAGTTCTAAATAAAATTTGCTTAATTAAAGAGTTTTTATAAAGAATTTTAATAAAAAATTCATTGTAATTATGAAATGAAAAAATCTAGTCTGGTGTGCAAAAAAAAAAAAAAAAAAAAAAAAAACGATGAAAATTTTAAAAATTTTGTCTGTATCACAAAACAGCGGCATTTGCGAAAAAATTTTACGGCGTCTCTTTACTTACTCGTGTTGTCTTTGTTACTCTTTAGTGTTGTTTAAATACAAGACGTGTGTGTAGTAAAATATGGCTGTTTCGTTTTGCTTCATTTTTCGTATTTGCTGTTATATATACTACAACAACAATAATGTAATAAGCAGTAAAGCGGCATTTTTTTTTTTCGTTTAAAAAATATGTTCTTCGAAATGTGAAAAAGCAGCAAAAAATGGTCTATAAAAGATGTAGAGAAAACGGAGAAGTAGGAAAAAGACGCCAAACAAGCGTTGTTTTTTTTTGCGGTGGTTATCCTCAGGCATGGGAAATTGAATTTTTTTTAAAGTTAACTTTTTTACAAAGATGGTAAATTTTAGGTATTAACTAGTCTACTAGTTTATGGTTTATAGACTTATCTCTAAGATGATCTACTGAACTTGTCCATAAAGTAATCTATTGACTAGTCTATGGATTACTCTGTAAATTTGTTGGTAGATTAGTTATTAAAATAGTCTATTGGCAAGTCCATGAACTGTTTTGTTGACTAGTCTGTCAACTAGTCTAATGTCAAGTTTCTATTGAAGAGTATAATCAATTTGAATTTTTTTCTATGTAAAAAAGAACAAATGTACTAAAATTCCATCCCTGGTTGTGACAACCATGGTTGTGTAGAAGAAAACAAAGAAGTTGGTTGGTTTTTTTGAAAAGGTTTTTTGATTTTGGCGCGGTGGGGTAAGGTAATAAAAACATCAGAGTCTGTGGTGTTGTTTTTGTAGTTTTCGACATTGCTGCTGTATATTTTTGGTAATATAGAGAGTTGAGGTTGATTGGCCGCTTTAATGCCGGTTAAAAAAACCAACACATTTTTTGCTATATGTGTCCGGCTTAAAAAAAAAAACAATGTATAATAGGTAGCATAAGTATAGTGTGAGAAAACTTTCGTTTTGTTTAATAATGTGCTTGGAACTAGAAAAAAATGTTAAGTTTAATTTATTGCTTGGTATCGTATCGTCTTGGGGGGGAGGAGGTAGTAGTTTTGTACAAAGTTACTTCTACGCAATAAACTTTCCAGTTTTTGTTAGAAAAGAGCGCGCTTGTCTGGTCTGTCATGGTTTTTTGAATTTATAAAATATGTATGCATATTGTGTGTATTTTTGTATAATGTATTTCTTCTTATACTTCCTGAACAAACAACTAAAAAAAACTTTTTGCTCTACTGAAAATATGTATTTTTTCCATTTTCTGTTGGTATACACATTTTCTTTAATATATCCAGAACAATCTTGTGTTTAATTAGCAAATAAATTGGCAAAAAATATCTTAATATTTTAATACCTATTTCATGAATAATTTTATTTATATTTTGTTGCTATTTCTTCCTTGTTTTATCTAAATCTTTTAAGTATTTTTTTGCCTTAAGTATTTTTCTTTTCTATGGAGTTAATATTTTCGAAACTTGAAAAAAGTTTCCTCTTCGCATTCTTTCATTTCTTTCTTTTGTTACTTTAATAAAAAGTCCGTTATTTTTTCGTCTCCTTTATATTTTAAAACTCTCCCTTTTACCTTTGTATTCTTAAAGTTTTTTGCGCGCTAAAACCTCGTTGTTTTTACCTTCTTTATTGTTTTGCTTTATTTATTCTAGTTCCCCTTGTTACCTCAAGTTTCTTAATTATTTCTAGAATAAAAACGCAACAACAACAGCACTTAATTATACATGCTTCTCTCTGTTTACTTCCTTTGCATTTTTTTTGATTCAACCAAATTGTCATTAGAGTATTTCTTTTGTTCTATTTGTGTGTTTACACACGTTTATCACCCCTTATGCTTCCAACCGCTTTTTCGCAATGTGTGTATTTGTCGCTTGTGTGTATGTGTGTTTTAGTCATGTTTTTTGCCTTGTGTTTTTCGCCTGTGTATTTTGTTTTTGTATTGAAAAAACACACATGTTGTGTTTAAATAAAAGTGACGAACGGTAGAAGTGTCGGTCGATTTGTGTAAAATGGATCGTAAAACTGGCAGATGTGTGTTGTTTTTTCTATTTTTAGCGGTGTGTAATTTTTTTTGTTTCTTTTTTATTTAATTTGTGTTGTTAACATCTTTATTTCTGTAGTTTTGTTTTCGGGGTAATTTTTGTTGTTGTTTATTGTTGTAATTTATTGTTGTTTTTTGTAACGATTTGAATCATTGGCATTGTGTGTTAGCTTTTTAAGTAAAGTTTTTTAATGTTAGTTTACATTGTTTGAGCTTTTTGTTTTTAGGTTTTCTTTTTAAACTTGCTGTTTATTTTGTAGGGTTTCTAGTATTGGGATTAGACTTAATTTAAAAGTTTTGTTAAATATAAGTTCGTTACTCATCCTATATGGTATGATTTCAATTTATTGTTCTCTGAGCTATAACATGAATTTTTTCCTTGTAATTCCACTGTAAACTAAACGTGATTTTCTTAAAAATTTAAATACTATTATGAAATTTGAATTGTTTACTCACTGTTGAAATATTCCAAATTAATCTTCGTTTGAGTAAATCTTAGATTTAAACTTTTGGACTTTTTCACAGAAATATGTGCGTATCATTTAGACATGTGGACATGTAGACAAATTTGTACATAACAGTTTTTCTAAAGTGCATTATCCTTTTTATAAGAAATGGTTTTAAGGAAACATTGTTTACAACACATTTCCTTTAAAAAAAGGTTTTTGTATAGAATTTTCCCTTCAGAAAATAGAAATTAGTACTGTTAAAATGGTGTTATTTGCTTAGAAACTATTAAAAAATCACATTTTCTTTTGGTTTCTAAGATTCTCTGCCACTTAATTAGTCAAATTTAATTGCTTTGAGCCACTACTCCGTTTAAAAGTTCATTATGTTATCATTGTTTCAAGGTATATTTTTATTTTAACATTTCTTATATTTAAAATTTTAATTATTAAAACACTTATAATAAAATTTATAAAATTAAGGTTAAAATACACATTTGCAACAAAAAAAGTACGCAAAAATGTTTGGCAATATGCTTTTTTAATCATAGCAACTTAATTTGGAAAGTATGCTGTCAAAAAAACCCTATCTCGTTTCTTTTATCGCCATTTTTTTGTGTTTAGACAACAACAAAACCTAAAAGAAATACCAAAAGTATCAGTAAAATAAAGCAAATTATTAGTGCAAGCTGTCACATGGTGCAGTAAATAAGACAAATGTGCTGATAATTTCATTAATTTGTTTTAAACACAATTGTGCCTAATATAATATATTGCTAAAGTTAGACTAAAAATTATGATTCATAAAAATAAAATAAAGTAACTAATTAAGAATTTTACTATTGAAATAAGATTTTTAGGAAGTTTACATACCTAACATAAATGTTAACCATAACATAGCAATATTAGGTTAACATATTATTAGTAATATGTACAACATTGAAATCTTTTGATCTTACATTTTTCATAATTTATTTTTTCTATAGAATACTAATTAGGAAAATCTCAAATAATAAATACAAAGTAGACATTTTTACTAAAAAAAATAATGAAACGATCGCCCCATTTCATTTTATAGAAAAAAGAGATTGTTAAGTTTCAAAAAATACAAACGAGCAACAAAAGTAAAATGTCAAATTAGTTAATTTAATTTGCACATAATTAGCATATCAATAAAATAGAACAAATTTACATAATTTCTATATAAATTGTTTTCAATTTCTTCTTTATACACCTGTTTCTTATATTTCCCCTTTTGTTTAAATTATTTTTTTTTTGCAGAGAAACTCCCGTTGTTGAGAAAGTCGCCGAGGAGGTTGATGCTGGCAAAAAAGAAGTTGCTGCTGAAACTCCCGCTACTGAAGAAGCAACCACCACAGAAAATGGTGAGGCTTCAGCTGCTGAAGAGAAAAAGCCCAGCGAAGAAGCCGCCAAGGAGAACGGAGACAGTGAAGCTGCTGCAGCTGAAAAAACCGAAACAGATGGTGCTGCTGCCGAAGCTGAAACTCCTGCTGCCACCGAAGCTGCTGCTGAAGAATCTGCGCCAGCCACAACTGAAGAAAATGGTGTAGAAGAACCTGCTGCTGCTACTGAAGCTAACGGTGATTCTACAGGTAAATTATATAATATTTATTGTTTATATTCCTCTTATACCTAGTTTCCTCCACTTTCATATACCTTAGGAAAAGTTTTAAAACAAATTTTCTTATAAATCGTTTTATCTTTCATTTTATAGATTCTGCCCCCGCTGAGGCCGTTAAGAGGAAAGTCACCGAAGGTGAAGCTAAAACAGACGATGCCGCTGAAGTGACACCTGAAAAGAAGGCCAAATTGGAAGAGACCTCAAAAGAAGAAGTCCAAAACGGTGCGGAGGCATCTGAAGTAGCGGCTTAATCTCTTAATTAAACACACACAACAACCTACCCTCTACTATATATAATATATATTAAAAAAATAACACACAAAAACAAACAAACAAAAACTAATTCTAATAATTTACTTACATTAACATTATAAAAAAATTAAAAACTTAAAAAATCCTACAAAAAAATTACAAAAAGCAAAGAAAACCTGTAAACTACCTACTACAAAAAAGAGAAAAACAACAAACCGAAACAACAACATCAAACCAACAATCAATCAACATTATTTAAAAAGAAAAAAACAAATGATGTGATCGCCGGCGATATATAATATATGATTTATTGACGCAAGAGCAGCACAGCATCCAAATACATAATTTCAAATTTCCAAATTTCATTTTGATTATAAGGTTTTTTATGTATAAACAAAAACAAATTTTTTTTTAAAACTAAAATGTACTTTGTCATATTTTCATGATAAATGTGCATGTGTATTAAAAAAAAAAAACGAAAAAAAGAAGAAAATCCTATACATAATCCTAAGATATTAAAGAAATAACAATACAATCTCCTCTTGTAGAGACAGAAGTTGTAAAAATATTTTGAAAGAAAAGAACTTTTTTAAAAAATTTATTCATTTTACACTTTTGTCGTCATATCTCAATTTTTTTATATATACATACATTTTAAATTATACTTGTGTATTCACTTCGAATTTCTTATTAATTCCTGTGCCAGAAACCTAAAATCTAACATCTGTTTTCCTTGTGAGTGCTTAGCATTTTTTCGCCAGGAAATGTGATGGGGGTTTTAGTGTTGAGGCATGTTATTTTTAAGAATTACTTTTAGTTATTTTAAAAAATGTCTTTCCAAACAAGACCTTTTTAAAATATAGTTGACTTTCAGATTTCTTTGTACTATTTTTTTTTTAAATAAATATAAAAAACACATCATCAGTTGAAACAACTACACCACTCTACCTACCAGACAAGAAGTAAAAGGCTAAAAAGTTGTAAAAATAATAAAAAAAATATATTTAAACAAAAACATTCAATAAAATACATTCGATTGAAAAATAAAACAAAAAATATTTGAAAAAAACCCAAACATGTCTTGTAATATTTAATTGTAATGCCAAGAAGTTATTGAAACTAAAAACAAATTCGTACTTAGTTTTTAAGTAAAACTTCCTTCTTTGTAGTTTTTAAATATAGAAATTTACTTAATATTTATACCTATAAATGGAGAAAATGATTTTTTTGTACTGGAAGAGATCATAGTTTTAAGGAACGATTTTGGTTTTGTAAATTAGAAGAATTCTGTTTCGATGAAAACACGATTTGGAATGTCTAACGAACCACTTCGAATGTTTTTAAGTCTGAACTTTTGGGACCGAGTTCAAGAGATCTCGATTGCAAAAAATAATTTCGCATTTCGTTGTACATGTAATTGTGCCTTTGTTCTTCGATTCGAAAGAAATGTTTTTAGTTTTCGTTTTTTGGTTTTCTTTTAATTTTTGTATTTTTATTTTTATAGATAAAAGGGAGTCGGCTTAACGATTTCCGAAATCCACTACTTGATACTTAAAATCCACAGCAGAGGTCTTACAAAGAGTTTGATAACAGTCGTTTCTTGGTAAATTTTGTTTTAGATGCTCAGGAATTTGTTTTAACTGGATTTTTAAATTGGATGTTGATGATTTATGAATAAGATTTAAAAAGGTAATTCGACAAAATTTTTAAGCTATTTATCCTATTTTTATTGCACCAAATAACCAACAAAAAGGATAAGCGTCTGTCACGTTTCCAACATTTTCATCCCTATTACAAAGCATACAGAGGTCGTCAGGAGCAAAAACTGTTTCTTCTCTTTGACACCAAACGTTTTCAATTCGATATAAAAAACGGGCCTGTTCGAATATACATACATTACTACATTGCATCTAATGATCGTGATTGACCGCGGAAATGTAATCGAAATGCAGAAATAGAATTGCTTGTTTTTTTACTATTCCAGTTTTGGTTGGACTACCTTTTTTCCATTGTTGCGGAAAATTTCTCTCATGGGAACGAAGATTTTTGTATTTAAATTTCCAGTGAATTGTCGTTATCTGTGAAATTGCTTACTTTCTAATACAAACAACATAACTATACTTGTGAAGTCAAGGCTAGCACTCTATTGCATTTACATCTTGTCGATCACGGATGACTAACATCACACTTAACGCACAATAGTTTTACCACTCCCTTTCCCGAGAGAGTGGTAAGTACTTCCATCCAATGCCATCATCGTGTTAAAATAGTAACTTAAAATGCTAAAATGCATTTTCCAAGTTTTGTTCTTTTAGAATCGAATCTATTCTGCGTGGATTCGTGGACTCATTTGTGGGATGAGTTATTATAGAATCTTAAACAAAATAAAATATCTTCGTTTAAAAATATAGTATACACTAAACATATGAATTCGTACATTTTCAATTTGAAATCTGTTTTCAAAGTAATCAAGTATGTATAACAACAACGATCTTGACTCAAACTTTTAAAATTAATGATATTTGAAAACTTTAATTTTCAAATCATATTAGAGAGTAAGCCGCTTGATATACAGAATCTGGTAAAACGAGTTTTTGGTGTAAATTTTTTGTTATTTTAAATGACTATTAAACTTAATCCCTTAAGTTATGCTATGAAATTTTCATATATTTAAATAATTATTTGATAGTTTTTTTTAACATTTAGTCCTATTCTGCGTTTCGATTTGAATTGAAGTTTTTTCCGTTTGGCAACTTTAGTATTCGTAATGCTGAATATAAGCCATCGGAAAGCATTGAAATGAAATACATTTTTCTTACGATTCCGTTTTTTGTTGGAATACATCTTTTAGCTCGAAGCGTAACTGAATGCGGAAACGTAATCGAAATTAAAAATATTGAAAATTTATGATTTTATAGCAAAACATAGCTTGCAGTTGAGTTTTAGTTTTGTTTTGTTTTCGTCTACCGTTGCCTTCAAAGTCAGTGTAAATGCACTTTTTTTGCAATTTCATTGCATTATTAAGGTTTCTTAACAGTAATTTATTTATTTTTACACCTTGAATATATAATTACCCTATAAATAAAACTAAGAGAGCAATTAAACATTTGTATTCAAAATAAAAATTATTGAGTAAAATAAAATCTCAATATTATTTTGTTTCAGTGAAACACAATTTAAAAAAATTACATTTTACAAATAACAACAGAAAGAAAGAACATTTTTTTTTAAATATTCATATTAAAACAATTTTAAATTTAGCTTATCTCCTTCACTGTTTTTTCGTTTTCTTTAAAGAGCTGAGAAGAGAGCAACAAATTCCTGTCTACCATATGTACTGCGTATGTATGTTATATATGGAGGGAGTGTATGGTTTTAATATTTCTTATCTTCTCCGAACACAATTTAATGATAACAAAACAATTTTGTTAGTAGGAGACGATAGCAAACCAGTTGGTAAATGTATGTGTTGCTGGCTGCTCTGAGTAAGTGGTCGCCGCCTGTCCGGGTTTTTATATGTATATTTTTTTCAATTTTATTTCATTATTTCACACTGTTGATTTGCTTTTCTCGAAAATATCAGTGTCATTTGCTCATTAACAACGTAGACAAGTGCATGTGCTACGCTTATAATTACTCAGAGAAGTTTTGAAAAAAAAAAAAAAAACAGAATTAGAAAAGTAAAAAACACAAACAACAAATTAACATAACATTTTTAAATATAAAAGTAAAAAAAAAAACAGAAGATTTTCTTTTTCAGCTTAATAACAAATAACAGTTGTGAAAGAAAATTTAATTTTAAACCTAACAAAAAGCGTTAAATTATTAATTGAAGTAAAAATATTTATTTATTTAGTAATACGTGTGTGACACAAGTGTTCAAATTCCCTCTACCAACAAAAGTCATCTATTTACTAACAACAACAACAACAACTACTACCAATAGCAGACGGACAATATACCCTTGCTAATTAAATGTTAATCACACCATTCCCACCAATATAAATCCAACGCGTCTTCTTGCTTTTTAAATAGAATTTTAAATTAAAACAAACAAAAACAAATCATAAAACATGTCATCAGCCTTACAGACGGTAAGTTTTTTTCCCCTGTTGCTGTTTTTATTATTCTACCATAATTTAAATTGTAATTATTAAAAAAAATTTCCTTTAGACTTTTACGTTGTAATTATTAAATTTTTGTTTTTTTTTATGATTTTTGAAAAATATGAATGTTATCGATTAAAATACACAAAGCGCCGGTTATCATTATATTAGGATGGTTTATAGGTGCATTTTAATAAAATTTTTTCGAATTTAAGCTAAAAGCATTTTTTGTTATTACGAAAATAGAATGAAAGTGGGTATTAAACTAAGCACAGTGGTTGAGCAAAAACAAGGAAGTGGTTTTAAATAAAAAAACAAAGGATTTGTCTGGTAAATGAAAACATTTAAAATGCAGAACTGAAAGTCTGCAGTCTAGCCTATAGTCTAGTCTATAGTATAGGCTATAGTCTAATCTATAGTCTAGTCTATAGTATATTCTATAGTATAGTCTATAGTATAGTCTATAGTCTAGTCTATAGTCTAGTCTATAGTCTAGACTATAGTCTAGTCTATAGTCTAGTCTATAGTCTAGTCTATAGTCTAGTCTATAGTCTAGTCTATAGTCTAGTTTATAGTCTAGTCTATAGTCTAGTCTATAGTCTAGTCTATAGTCTAGTCTATAGTCTAGTCTATAGTCTAGTCTATAGTCTAGTCTATAGTCTAGTCTATAGTCTAGTCTATAGTCTAGTCTATAGTCTAGTCTATAGTCTAGTCTAGTCTATAGTCTAGTCTATAGTCTAGTCTATAGTCTAGTCTATAATGTAGTCTATAGTCTAGTCTATAGTCTAGTCTATAGTCTAGTCTATAGTCTAGTCTATAGTCTAGTCTATAGTCTAGTCTATAGTCTAGTCTATAGTCTAGTCTATAGTCTAGTCTATAGTCTAGTCTATAGTCTAGTCTATAGTCTAGTCTATAGTCTAGTCTATAGTCTAGTCTATAGTCTAGTCTATAGTCTAGTCTATAGTCTAGTCTATAGTCTAGTCTATAGTCTAGTCTATAGTCTAGTCTATAGTCTAGTCTATAGTCTAGTCTATAGTCTAGTCTATAGTCTAGTCTATAGTCTAGTCTATAGTTTAGTCTATAGTCTATCTATAGTCTAGTCTATAGTCTAGTCTATAGTCTAGTCTATAGTCTAGTCTATAGTCTAGTCTATAGTCTAGACTATAGTCTAGTCTATAGTCTAGTCTATAGTCTAGTCTATAGTCTAGTCTATAGTCTAGTCTATAGTCTAGTCTATAGTCTAGTCTATAGTCTAGTCTATAGTCTAGTCTATAGTCTAGTCTATAGTCTAGTCTATAGTCTAGTCTATAGTCTAGTCTATAGTCTAGTCTATAATCTAGTCTATAGCCTAGTCTATAGTCTAGTCTATAGTCTAGTCTATAGACTAGTCTATAGTCTAGTCTATAGTCTAGTCTATAGTCTAGTCTATAGTCTAGTCTATAGTTTAGTCTATAGTCAAGTCTATAGTCAAGTCTATAGTCAAGTCTATAGTCAAGTCTATAGTCTCGTCTATAGTCTAGTCTATAGTCTAGTCTATAGTCTAGTCTATAGTCTAGTCTATAGTCTAGTCTATAGTCTAGTCTATAGTCTAGTCTATAGTCTAGTCTATAGTCTAGTCTATAGTCTAGTCTATAGTCTAGTCTATAGTCTAGTCTATAGTCTAGTCTAGTCTATAGTCTAGTCTATAGTCTAGTCTATAGTCTAGTCTATAGTCTAGTCTATAGTCTAGTCTATAGTCTAGTCTATAGTCTAGTCTATAGTCTAGTCTATAGTCTAGTCTATAGTCTAGTCTATAGTCTAGTCTATAGTCTATAGTCTAGTCTATAGTCTAGTCTATAGTCTAGTCTATAGTCTAGTCTATAGTCTAGTCTATAGTCTAGTCTATAGTCTAGTCTATAGTCTAGTCTATAGTCTAGTCTATAGTCTAGTCTATAGTCTAGTCTATAGTCTAGTCTATAGTCTAGTCTATAGTCTAGTCTATAGTCTAGTCTATAGTCTAGTCTATAGTCTAGTCTATAGTCTAGTCTAGACTAGTCTATAGTCTAGTCTATAGTCTAGTCTAGTCTAGTCTAGTCTAGTCTATAGTCTAGTATATAGTCTAGTCTATAGTCTAGTCTATAGTCTAGTCATTGTAAAGTGATTCTGGTAAGAAATGAATAACTTATATTTAAATAGAAATTTTCCCGGAAAAAAACATTGAAATGTGATCAGTAAAATTGAAATTTGCTTTAATTTACGCATTAAAAAAACATATGATTCATTTCTTCATAGCTACTTTCGACAACTCTAGAATTTTTTTATTAAATCTATTTTATTAAAGATTGATAAAAAAACTATTAGGTCTCGCGCTATTCTTATCTGAAACTCTCAAATTTCAATATTTTCTAAGAAAGTTCGAAAACATAAATACGTTTATTATCGTTAGTTTACGAAAAAAACATATTTTGAATTGATTAAAGCTTTAGTAAAAAAATTCCACAAAATTTTTATAAGAAAACAAATGATTTCCATATGTTAAAACCTTAACAAATCAAGGTGAGAACTAAGAAATTTGCGCGAATGATAAGTAAAATAAACGATAATAAAAGTAGAAATTTATTATCGCGTGCCGGGTAAAATTATTTTGCTATTAACTTCAAATTAAAAGATATAATTTAAAGATTACATTTTTTTTTTGCATTTGTAGTTATAAACCTATACTTTTAAATGTTTGTATTATTCGTTTTGCTTGTTCTATACTGTTTCCAGTCTAATTTTTTATAACTTTCTAATAAAGTACTTATACAACAATGTTTCAAAATCCTTATCTCTGACGGCATATGTATTCAATTATTGCGAATATATTCTTAGATAATTTAGTAGTACTATAATATAATAATGTTAATAGGTATATAGTTTTTCTTTCGATAAATTATTACCGATTATAGTCTAGAGGCATACATTTGTTTAAGGCATGTGTTCTAGTGTAGTTGGTGATTTACTTTATCAATTTGTTGCGATAATTCATATAAACTTTTTATGTTAGTTATTAGATTTTTTCTTTAATCTTTTTCATACAATGAACTTTATCTTTAGTTGTTTATGGGACAAATTTTTTCACCAGCAAATCGCGCCAGATTGCTTGAAAGCGCTATGGATAACGGCCTTTTGTCCCCTACTGATAACAACATTGTTGACTGAACACGAACAACAATATATTTTATGTACATACTTTTTAAAAGTCAAAGACTTTTAAAATACCGGGTTGTTTTACACAGACGTTTTTAAGAAATAAATAAATATGATTAATGATGGATGCAATAATACTACATACATACGTGTTTAACACGACTAAAAGATAATTATTGTTTTAAAATTTAAATCAGCTAGCCAGTTATTTACGTTTAATACTTGGGGTTTTACAATTTTTTGTTTTAATATGGTCTCAGTTAAAACGTAATAGAAGTTGTTTGGAAATGATTCACACACTGTTTAATTCAAATGAATTTTGTTATTAATTTTCTGTTATTTGATATGGAAAAGTGATTAAAAACAAATTATAAAAAGGTAGCTTTACAATTATTAAAATTTATTTTTTTGTAAATTTTTATCCAAACAATAAACAGACAGTGGTTTGGAATAGAAAATAAATGGTTTGAGAATGGTTTGATTGAGAATATCGTACATAAAACAATCTGAAACGGTGTCGTAGCAAGATTTACTTAAATTAAGTACAAAATACTTGATTCAAGTATGGATCCATCAAGTGAAAAGCTTGATTTTAGTGCAATTTAAGGATTTTTTTTAATAATTTAGAAAAAAATAAAAATGTTAAAAAAAAATGTATGTTCATAGTTTAAAATTCGCTATAAGAATAGCTAGTTTAAACGATTATGATATATGTGCTGGATTTCACTAGTCAACGGCTCTTTTAACTATAAAGTTGTTAACATTATTTTCTTTTATGTATTTAAAGAAATTACTAATAAAATTAGTCTAATCTAAAATTAACTAAACATTATCAAAACCCACTTAGATTTTGTCCATCAACTTGAAATGCCAAAACAGTAACAAAAATTCAATGTTAGTTAAATGTTATCTAGTTTATTTTTTAATCATGGTAGCAAACATTTTGAAATTGATCTT